GATGACTCTGTGAAGGAGGAGTCGGAGGCAATCCATAACACATTAGGTAAGACGGCAGAGGGAGGCAGTCATATACATAAAATGGCTTTGTTGAGGGAGGAACAACAATAAACAGAACAGAACAATATTTATAACAATGTCAAGTCGAATGGCTGAGCAGTTAAAGCGTGGGTGCCGCAATCTGCAGCAATAATATCAGCGCTGATTCGAACAGCACTCTCGTCCATGTTTCTGGTGGTGGAACAAGTCTACTCAGTTGGCTTGTTTACACTTTAAAGAACCTAGTACATCCTTTGAGAAATGTGGGGGGCTACCCCGGTGTACTAGTCCATTCAGCCCCTGTTGTTATGGACAGACAAAAGTGTGCCTCTTGGCAACTAATTGGATATGATGTCCCCCTTGCGAGAGAAGAAATTTGTTGAAATTAGTTAAAGCTGCAAGTCAAAGGTTATTTCATACCTTTACCTATAACTTGATATTTTGTACATACTATTTTAAACACCTGACTATTTATAGCCATTAAACAAGATTTTATTTTTTTTAACAGGAATTATTGAAAACATGACAGAGTTCAGACCTGAGATGTGTGTGGACGCAGGCCAGCAGGGATTGATGCAATGGTTGTTGAAAAGACTGAAGTCAAAGTTGGCATTTGATGCTAACAAGCTTTACTGCAGTGAAATCCTAGCAATTCTTCTACAGGATACTCTAGGTGATTATATGTTGTAAATGTAACTCCTTTCTTTACTTGACCAACCCTTATAACTGCATATACAAAGCAGACATACAGTATCCAAGATTTTTGTGCTTAGTCTAAAACTCAGTACTTTAGAGGTTTTATATTTTTTGAAGGTATTATAATTATATTGAATATTCTGCACAAACACAAGGGAGGTGAAGTCCTTTAGTACTTCTGAAGCAAAAGTACATTTTCTCGAAGGATGGATTGTGAAGAAGGCAGATATGAGCAAGCCACCAATATAGTACTATGTAGTTCATCAAACACAATTTGTCAAAATTTTCCACCATCCCTTCACAATTAATTCAATCTCTTTTCATTGTTACTAATGGCTGGTACATTTGATTCTAAATGCTTGATTGCTTTTTCTTCCAGAAAATCGTGAGCTGTTAGGTGAAATTAATGGAATAGATTCCTTACTTCAACGTCTCGCTGTAAGTTATTAATTTGCATAATAATGTATTTAATAAATCCACAACTGCAGAGTAAATGATGTTGAGTTTGTAAATGTTGTATTTATGCCTTCTTACTCCAAATTCAATATTTAGTTATTTTCCTTTATAGGGTTTTAAACGGCACGATCCATCAAATACCGAAGAAATAGAGATGATGGAGAACCTGTTCAACTGCTTGTGCTCGGCATTGTTGCTGCCATCAAACCGAGCCAGGTTTCTGAAAGGGGAGGGCGTTCAGCTGATGAACCTTATGCTGAGGTACGCTCACTTTTAAATACCTTTATATCCTACTATTTATGCTTCTAATCTAATTGAACTAATCACATTGATGTGTGCACTGCCATCTATTGAGTCAAATAAATTGCTCTTTGTAACCTAAAAAGTCATTCCCCCACATTTTCACATTTATATTGACACATTTCAATATATTCTATTAACATTTAGAGCAGGTGGGTTTACACTTGATTGCCATTTGACCAAACATGGTCGCTATTTGAATTACATCAGATTTTGCTTTGTATACAAATTCTATCTGACTTTAATACTGGCCTCTTTAAGTTGATGATTTTGATTAAATCTTTCCTTTGTATCATGGCATTCTAAACATAGTATATTAACAATTTTACTTTTCTCTTGTTTGAATTAATTAGAGAGAAGAAGTTATCACGGTTCAGCTCGCTCAAAGTTTTAGATCATGCTATGACAGGGGAGGAGGGAGCTGAAAATTGTAACAAATTTGTTGAGATCCTTGGTTTACGGAGTATTTTCCCATTGTTCATGAAAACACACAAGAAACAGAAGAAAAAAGGGGGGATAAGTGAGGAAGATCATGAAGGTAAAAGAAAAAAATTTCATTAAAAAAAATTTTTTTTTTAGATAAAAGAAGAACGATAATGTAACCTGATCAGTGTTCTTGGTTGATTGATGCAATAATATTTCTCTGCATTACTATGGAACAGCTCTATTTCTCAAAGAACTTGTGAATAACGTAGTATTTTTAACAAGACAGAATCTCAGAGTGGTAATACAAATGGTAATAAATATTTATATTTAAGTTGTGTTTATTTCACAGAACATGTATGTTCCATCATTGCATCAATGTTGAAGAATTGCTCAGCTGCAAACAAACAGAGAGTGATCAATAAATTCACAGAAAGTGACCATGCCAAAGTTGACCGCCTGATGGAGTTACACTTCAAGTACTTGACCAGAGTCCAAAGTGTTGATGACAGGATTGAAAAAGAAAAACAGGTATTGTTTTATCTACTTCATTTTACACCGTGGTTTGTTAAATCAAGAAAAAATAACAGCTAAACAAAGGCCGGATGAGCTCCTCAGAGCCAATGGCCAATCGTAACTTAAGTTTAAACTTTTGTTTCTTTCCTATTTTACATTGTGATGTGCATAGATATCATGACAATATGTGCCATATAAAACAAAGATTATTATATATTTATAAAATTGTAACGCCAAACCACTATTTGTTGATCATGTAAGTGGCAAAATATCGCTGTTGATTGGGGTCCTTGTGGGTGTAGTTTGGGCTGTACATTGGGCAACTACAACAACAACTACTCTT